AAACCAGTCTCGCATTGAGTCTCGGACGAGAGTAGCGATCCGAGAGTGGTNCTCAATTAATAAACAAATTGATTTGTGAAGGCATAAACAACTCTCGGATGCACTCTCGGACGAGAGTGTTTACTGGAGTTTGGCGCCCTAACCTCCGAAAATCCGAGAGTCGAATGAGTGTCCATTCCGAGTGTCGGAGCTACTCTCGGATAGGTCTCGGACTCATCCGCCAGGGGTTTTTTAACTCACTGTCTGCATCAATCTAATCCGCCATCCTTTGATTCGCGCCAAGGACGTTGGTCCTGCTCCTACTGATTTTTTATTTCATGGAGAATTTTTTTAGAATACTTATTCCATTGAGAACTATTTTTCTTATAGAAACCTGATTGTGCACTATCACCATTTATTCAAAATTCCTGACTTGACTTCCTTTTTTATTTCTATGTATTTTTCAAAAACTTCGACTTCCCAGTAGGAATCAAACAAAACTTTTTCTTGGCTCAGTTTTTTTACAAAAATTTCAATATTATCTGAAGAAAAATGCGATATAGAAAAATCACGTGACTGAGAGTCCGCATTTTTTCGTACACGGACGTCAATTTCTGGCTCGACAGGTGTTGATGAAAACGATAGTGCTTGTACCCTTTTACATGGTACAACATACGGAGAGAATAAAATAATGAAAATTACTATGTCGAAGGAAAATTCTTCGTATCGGAAATTGAAAAGTGATTTTTTTTTCATACTGATTCACCTTGAAGATTTGGATTACACCGTTGATTACCAAATATAACTACTCTTAATACACTTCCTACAAATTATTACTCGCAACCAGTCGATTAGACTTTTTGGTATAAGTCTTTATCATTGGTCGGTATATCGTACATTGAGAAAAAAAAATATTTTTGCCAAATATCCATTTACTTGAGAGAAGTATTTATTTTTTCAATACCGTATTTCTCCCAAACTGAGCGCGCTGTTGCCACCTTGGCGTTTACCGCTATGCGCGCACTTCAAGTATGGCAGTAAATGAGCAACACTGTTGCTCAAGGGATCGACAGGAACTCACTGAAACCGAACGGTGCGGCGCCGCTTTTCTGTTCATTCGATGTTTCTTCTCTTTTTTTAGCTAAACAAATTTCCTGAGAAAAAAACGGACAACGCCAACGCTCAATAAAGGGATTGAACTAGGAACTCTAATTTTTTCAGATTTTTTAAGCGTCGAGAAACGCTAAAATATAAACAAACGACCATGGGCGGTGCTGCGCCCATTGAGCGAGTGATCGAGAGTTAATAGGCAATCTTCATTAGGTTTCAATTATGACAGGTATATTTCTCTAGGAGATGATTATGTTACTTATGACCTTGAATGAATTCACTCAATAATTATCCACATTAAAAAATTAATCGAAATTCTTTCCTCAGAAAATAACAGGGTCTCCAGCCGTTAGGGAAATTTGGGAAACCGGGAATTGTTAGGGAATTTGATTGGTCTAGAAATGTCAGGGAATAGTCAGAAAACTACGATAACTTTCTGGAATTTTAAAATTTGAAGCTTGTTTTCTCCAAATACCTAAATTTTTGGGAATTCTTCTGTTGACAAAAAACATTCTCTTGGAACCATCTTCCCGTGGGATCAGACTGGGAACCCACTGTTTTTGCGGTTTTTCTATACAAACTGCAAAACACTGAGAGTTCCAACCTGGTCCACTAAAGAGAAGTGAGCATCCTAACTTTCTAGACAAATTTTTCGCTGTACGTATTTTTGTTGAAAAGTTGACAGAGTGATCACCTCCTAAGGGGTTTCCCCTTAGGAGGTGATCACTCTGTCAACTTTCGCTAAAATTGAAGTCTTTGAAAGTTCCCTTAGCCATACTTGCTTTATTACGTAATTTCGATCTGATATAGATTTTTGTATTCCGCAATTTCGTTAGACTCTAGAAAATGAAATGAAGTACCCATTTTACGTCATAAATTATGGATAATAGCCCATGAAACAAATTTTTCTTTCAATGCACTCTTTTTGTTATTTTTTGCCTAGTGTCTAAAAAATTGAGTGGAGCATACAGACTAAATCTAAAAGATTCATTTTTGCTTCCGAATGGAAGCATTGTAATCGTGCTGTTTTCACATTCTCTAATTTTGATTGGAAATGATGTAGAATGGTCTGAAACGTAAAAATACGAAGTTTGGCGACCATGTCTGTTGGTGTCAATGTCCATCGCCACCTTTCCGATGGTCAATTTTTGAAAAATTGAGTAATTAATTGGCTAAACTTATTCCAAAAAATCTGAAATTTTGTCAGATTATAGATCTTAACAAGGACTAACTCTGTGCAAAAGTTCAACCCGATGGATCAAATAGTTTTTGAGAAAAAGCTATTCGTTTTTAAATCGTTTTTCGCTAATATCTTCGAAGCTAGTCAACAGATTTCAATTTTTTTTTCAAAATATTCATTTCGATGCCTTCTATCCGAATCAATCAAAATATATATACCCGTTCATACAAAGTTTTCGAGATATTTCCGTTTTTTTATAAAAATTCTTGTAATCACTCTAGCTTGTACAACAATTGAGATATCAACTTGAAATTTGGACAGAATCTTCCTCTTATAATAATAATCCTTCCTAGTGAAAATGAACTCAATCACATGAGTAGTTTCCGAGATATTTGACTTTCTCTGAAAACCTTTTATGTGCAGTATCTGAAAAACTATGCAACCGATTTCAATTTTTTTTTTCAAACTATTTGCTTCGATGCCTTCTATCAGAATCAATCAAAACATAAACGGCCGTTCATAAAAAGTTTTTGAGATATTTCCGTTTTTCTGTTTTTTCATAAAAATCCTTGCAATCACTCTAGCTTGTACAAAAATTGAGATATCAACTTGAAATTTGGACAGAATCTTCCTCTTATGATAATAATCCTTCCTAGTGAAAATGAGCTCAATCACATGAGTAGTTTCCGAGATCCCGAGTGGAAATTCTGTTCAGGTCTCGATCAGAAACTGATCAAGTCCGATCCGAAATTCTGATCAGGCATGTTACGTCTCTGCCTTAGGTTTTTCCACTAGGGTTTCTCCGCCTTCCATCATTAGGCATTAATTAAATTGAATTTTTTTGAGAGAAAAAATTAGTAACTTCCTAGCCGGGAATCGAACCCGGGACCTCCCAATGTCGCGTCGGGTGCTCTTACCATCTGAGCTACCAGGACACTTACGAATTTCACTCTCAAATTGACTCATACCCGAGTGGAAATTCTGTGCAGGTCTCGATCAGAAACTGATCAAGTCCGATCCGAAATTCTGATCAGGCATGTTACGCCTCTGCCTTAGATTTTTCCACTAGGGATATTCGACTTTCTCTGATAACCTTTTATATGCAATAGCTTAAAAGCTACGCAACCGATTTCAATTTTTTTTTTTCAAAATATTTGTTCCGATGCCTTCTATCCGAATGCCTTCTATCCCATTCGGAAGCTTACTACCAATGGAATTGGTAGAAATGAAAGAAAGAAAAAGAGTTATAACACATGGCTTCGGCCAAAAAGGCTCGAACCCCTGCTTGTTTCTCAATACATTCTAAGCAATGGAAAACGAATAATCAATTTTATTCTTTGAAGTCTGAACATTGAAACAAATGAAAATAGGAAATGACGATGAAAATTCACTTGATGGGTCTTTTCGCCAATCAAAGATAATTTTACTTTTCCGACGTCTGCCTTTCAATTTTGTTCGGTCAAGGAATTAAGGATAATCGGGCGAGGAGGAAATGTAGGAGGTGAGGCGGAGGGGTTTCTATTGTTCTCCTGCAGAAAATCAATCGCTGAACAAAAAATTTTTTTCCATTCGGATTCAAAATTCAGGCAATATTAGGGAGTATCTCCGGTTAAAAATTATTTTCGGAGCTAATCAAATTTATTTGTCTCTGTTCTATGCATTGAATGGTTTTTAGATTGTTTTTTTTTTAATAAATGAAAAAATGTTAATCCGTGCGAAAAAGTGGCAACATCGTCGGTAGTTTTTTTTTCACCAGGAGCTGGTACCACTGGCTCGAGGGAGCTTCACTGACAACGCTTCATCGCTCTCTCTCAAGAGACGTTTAAATTGACCGCGCTACCCCCACCCGATCGGTACTTGGGACGTTGCTGCCTAGGCGACAATCTTTTTCACTCAAAAAATCATTGATCACATGTCCTAAATGTGTTTAAAGTTTCATGACTTTGGCTGCATTTTTTCCTTGGGTTTTGCAGTTTTTTTTGTGATTTCTATAAGATCGCGGGTTAAATGACCAATTTTTCAAAAATTCATAATAAATTAACCATGCTCTCCAGCAGTCTAAAACTTTGCACACGCCTTTTCCATCATTTAAAGAATACGTGAAAAAAAGAAAAAGAATGGTTGCTTTTTTTCCAAAACCCTCCCAGCTCGCCCGATTGTCCTTAATGTGCATGGATCCATCTATTGCTCATTGATTATCAACGTCAGGTGATCCTCGATTATCAACTGTTTCAACCCTCTACGGTGAATTTTAATATCCCCACTCTATGGCCTTCAAAACGGAATGCCGGTGTCCCCATTAAAGCGTCCTACTACACTTTTCCCCTTCGAGTCTATAAATTTAACATTCTTTAATAAAAAAACGTTTTTTATGGTCAGGTAATTTCATCAATTTGACCGGGAAAAGTCAGGGAATTTTGTTAAAACTTCCAGGTAGACACCCTGTAATAAGAAATTTAGGAAAAATGAATCATCATTGGAAGAGTTCATCCCAGGTCAAGTGCAACTCTCTAGAGCATTATGATCGTCATAATTGAAACCTAATCAGGCTCGCCTAGGAATGAGCAGATGGGAGAAATACGATTTTGAAAAAATGAATGCTTCTCTCAAGTAAATGAATATTTAGCAAAAATATATTTTTCTCTCAGTGTGAGTGAGAAAAAGCTAATTTTGCCCCATCTGCGACACTGCCCTCTTTTAAATTTCACTTTCCCTTTATCCTCTTTTCCAGGTCATCAGAATGAATTATCTGAAATCGTGGTTCATCATAGATCTCCTCAGCTGTTTACCCTACGACGTTTTTAATGCCTTTGATCACGACGAAGATGGCATTGGTAGTTTGTTTTCAGCACTGAAGGTTGTTAGATTACTGCGACTGGGACGGGTCGTACGTAAACTAGATCGCTACCTCGAATATGGTGCTGCTATGCTTATACTACTCCTGTGCTTCTACATGCTGGTGGCCCACTGGCTTGCCTGTGTCTGGTATGTCATATTAAGGTGATTTCTTGTGGTGGATTCTCCGCTTCGTGATACCTCCTATTAGTATTTTGCAGTTTAGAACCTTACACTGATAGAAAAGATGGAACTATTATCATGATTCGTTAACTATTAACAAATCCCGGTAATAGTTAAGGGGAGACTACTATGACTTTCAAATGTCGTGGGGTATTGGAATGAGATTTCTCATACATTGAAGATCGATTATATATGTCTAAAAACGAATAGTTAGTGCAAAAAAATAATTGTTTATTGTTCGTTTACTCCGCAAACTCTTAAAATGTTAAAACCAATTCTTCAAAAGAATCAAACAACTGAGATCACCATATTTCGCATTACCCGAGGCCGCGATGTGGACGCAGTGGTGCATCGGCCTCAAAGAAGAACCAATACACTCTACTCACCAACACGACACTCGGGATAATTTTTCGGAGTGTGAATTACAATCGAGTACAACAACCAACACTCCGTCTGTTCCCTCAGACACCAAACTCCGCTACACCTCCTAGTAGCAATTTATAAACTTAAATAAAGTTGATATTGTGACTCTTCAAATTTCAATCGACACCTAGGCAATCACACAGGTACCCGCTACTCTTCTCGAATAAACTCGGTCCCTATCGATTGAATTTCAAGGTGGGCACCACTGGTTTCAATCATTGGAGTATTAAATACTCTTTGATATTTTTCGAAAATTAAAACGTGTCATGTTTAAATTTCAGCGTTATACATTACAATTTATTTTTTTCAAAATAATTTCTGGTACCGTATTAGTCCATTTTTGTACGCAAATTTAATGTTAATGGACTGCCCATGATAGTGAACAATTTCTCGACCCTCTCTTGATATTTGAATACCCGTGTGAATATTTCTTTATTTAGTTTATCTTGGGTTCCTCTCCTTCCAAGCTCGTATTTTTGCAAGTTATTTTTTAAATCTCTCCAGTATCTTTCAATATTCTGCGTATGCCAATTTCGGTTGTATGAATTAACAAATTGATATCTATGATTTACACACCTGTGAATATATCCTTTTTGGGTCAACCCTCGATAGCTCTTTCACCCATCAGTCACTATAGTTGTTCCTTTTTTCACATATTTATCAATATAACATTGTAGAATTAATTTCGACCGATCTTGTACTGGCACTGTTATTACTTGCTTGCTGTCCCGATCGAATATTTCAAATATCCACGGCCCCCGGGCCTCTCTCCCTCGATTATATTTTCTCCCTCCTATTCTGGTCTCGTCAACTTCTACTGTCTTATCCCTCCCCCCCTAACTTTTCGTTAACACGTGCCTCAGACCACGCAGAAAGTATCTTGTTTACTTTTTTTTGTGAGATTCCTCACCGTATTTTTGGTTACCCCATGTTCTTCAGCAAGTGTTTGAATTGTGATTTTATTGCTAATTATATAATAAGAAATGATTTTAAATGCTTTTTCAAATGTTATTTTTAAATTTTCAAAAATAGTATTACTAAGAATGTTATATTGAGTATTGCATTGTTTCTTAATTAATTTGTAGTGTGAATTTTTGATGTGATGGACTTTCCTACATTTGAATTTAAGACTCCCTGAATCACGAGTTATTTGTGCCCCACGCTCATGGCAATTAGCATGCGCCACTAAGACACCGCGTGAGATTAAGAATTGTAAAGTTCTTTCTCTGTCTAAAGTTAATAAAATCACATCGTCGTATTTCATATTACTCTAAAACTATTTGAGAGCGACTCTTCTAGTAAATTGATTTGAAAAATATAGATAATTCTGAATCTAGCGGTTACAAAAAATTGCACCATTTATGTATTATAAAATAGCCGGAAAAATATTTCTGACAGAATTGAGAATATATTTTGAATCTTTGAAGGATAATTTTTCTCCCTATTTCATATGAAGGGCGCAAATTTTTATATTAAACAAAACAAAATTAGCTGTCTAAGAGTCGAATTTCAAAAAACTAATTCGTAATTGTTATTGTACACATTTTTTTCAAAATTTTGAGAAAAAAACTAGCTCAAAAAATTAGAGGCCCTGGACTATTTTTAACATTTTAAGCGACTGCGGAGCAAACGAACAATAAACAATTAATTTTTTTGCACTAATTTTTCGTTTTTACACATATATAATCGATCTTCAATGCATGAGATATCTCACTCCAATATCCCACGACTTTTGAAACTCGTAGTACTCTCCCCTTAAAAGGCATTAATAGCAAATAAATCCTTCTATCAGTGTAGCAGAGCATCCAATAGCATACATATAGTCATGAAATGCAAAAATTCATTGCGTTTTATTTAGAAAACATCTTCACAGAGACAAACTTAATTTGATTAAAAGAACTTGTCTCGTAAAAAATTCTAGAACACTAACATTACTTCGAGATGTTGTTTTCTTCGAGATTTTTCAAAAATATAATCATCATATTTAGTTGTGTTAGTTCTTCTTTCTACTTTAAACTGTAAAGTGCTGAGTTCTTTCCTTTTACTACTCCACGTTAAGATCATTGGTTGTTTTTTCTTCAGTAGATGATTTTGAGAGAGTGGGGAAAAGTGGAATTTTTGTGATTGACTTTTTTTTCCACAAAAAAGTACCTTGGTACTTTATCTAAAAAATTAGGCTTTTTTTGTCTATAGGCAGAAATAGTAAAATTTTTTTAAAGTTCAAGTTTGTCAGAAAATACTTTGTGGACCTAGTGATGAAGTCTACTACACATATGAAAAAATTCCATAGAAAACCTACGGAATTGATAATAAAAAAATTTTTTTTTTTAATCTACGGAATTCGCTAGAAAATTCTATTAGAATTCTATAGAAATTTTATGGGGTTTCTATAGGATTTCCATTAGAATTCTATTGAAAAATTCTATTTGTTTTTTGCGCTGATTCTATTAGATATTGGATAAGACAAAATCAATAGATTTCGAATTTCTATTTGAATTTTTCTCTTGAGATTTTTTCTATAAGAAGGCTTGGGCTTTAATTTTCCAAGTTTTTTCCACTCGGATTCTGTAATTTAAAATCCTGTAATGTCAACGAAATCGAGAGAAAAAACTTAGAAAATTTGTACCCAATAATTCTAATAGAAAAAATCTCAAGAGAAAAATTCATTCAGAATTTCAAGATATATTGACTTTCCCATCAAATATGTAATAGAATTAGCGCAAAAAATAAGTAAATTTTTTCAATAGAATGTCCTAGCGAATTCACTAAGTTTTTTATTGATTTTTTTCATGCGTGTATTTCAATATCAGAATCTTTTGATTTAACTGAGTTATTGAATCCAGAATATTCATATTTATCGATCAAAATATTTTTCAATCTCAATCCAAAAGTTGATAGCAAGAACAATAGGCGTTATCGGAGTACATTCAACCGATTAATTCCATCGTGTTTTTCTCCTGTGTTCCCAAAAGCTTGATAGCAGAGAAGGAACATCCCAAGTCGAATATGAGCAGATCCGCGTAAAATCCGAAACCCAAAAAAATTGATGTCTGGGATTTTCTGCTCGATTTTTTTCTAGAAAGTTGGGCATCAAACAAACATTTTAAAATAAATTTTTTTGAAAAATATTGATAATTGCGGGAGTTATGATTTTTCAAAAATTTCCATTTTTTTTCGATAAAAATTGTATTTTCAAATTATTACCAATATTCCAGTCCCCTTCAGAGCTATCAAAATTTTTTTCAGCAGACTCGAAGAACATGAAAAAAATCTTCAAAATGAGACGTCACTTGCTGCATTCCATCCAATTTTACGCGCTTTATACGTCAAAACGTCTTTTTTTTCAGTCGCCATTGTCTCAAAAACCAATTTTTTTGAAAATCTGAAATTTTTCCCATAAATCATCAATAAAATGCCGAAAATTTGGGCGCCAAAAAAGTTACTATTTTGCAGTAGTTTGGCAGATATAAATTTTTTTAAGAAGCAAATCACTGAAAATGATGAAAAATTGCGCTAAACTATATCACGGGAAGGGCCCTTGTCAATGAATAGGTGGAACGTTCAAGTGTGCAGCTACCCGAGCTAGTCTGCAACGCCCTTTCAAGGACCAAATTACGAATGTGGAGGAATTATATGATTGGGCACGAACAAATCTATCCAACATCACCACAATTTATGTGTCAAAAGATGAGATTCTCGAAATGCAGAAGAAATGATATCAACGATTTGCTAACGTCAAAGGCATTCCAGGAACTCGAGATTACCACTGTTACATACCGATTTCAACTGGTAGCATGATGGTCAAACTTTTTTCATCCTCACAACAGGCTGAGACATTCAAATTAGCCGATGATTTACTGTCACTCGAATCTGTTAAATCTGAAGTAATTATCATTCATCAAGGGAAATGGTGGGTGGGTTACATTTTGAATAGAAATCATAATTCTAATCAATTCTCTGCATCTTTAATGGAACCCTGTGGTCCCTCGTCGACTTATAAATATCCCACAGTACAAAAAACAGTGACTGCACCATTTGAACAAATTCTTTGTGAAGTAGATAATTTGAAAAGATCCAGGTCCAACAAGTTTACAATTCCTAAACGAGTTGAAAATGCAATTGTTCGTAAATTTCTCGATTATCAAAAAACTTTACTAGAAGATTGATGAAAAATATATGAAATTGTATGATTCCAGAAATATTTAAGACGTTTGTTTAAGGGATTTTGTGTTATTATTTTCAACAGTAATTAGAAATGAATTTAATCTTTCCAGGTATCTTATCTGATGATTACCAAAAAAGCATACCAAGGAGGGATCATGGGAAGAATAATGATCTTAGATCCTTCTATTTACCAATTCTCAATGAAAAACTCACTCATTTGTGAGATAATTGAGTAATTCAACGCAATTTTTCATCATTTTCAGTGATTTGCTCCTTAAAAAAATTCATATTTGCCAAACTACAGCAAAATAGTAACTTTTTTTGGCGCCAAAATTTTCGTCATTTTATGGATGATTTTTGGTAAAAATTTCAGATTTTCAAAAAAATAGGTTTTTGAGAAAATGGCGACTGAAAAAAAAGACGTTTTGACGAATAAAGCGCATAAAATTGGATGGAATGCAGTGAGTGATGTCTGATTTTGAAGTTTTTTTCATGTTTTTTGAGAAGGACTGCAATATTGGTAATAATTTGAAAATAAAATTTTTATCGAAAAAAATGGAAATTTTTGAAAAATCATAACTCCCGCAATTATCTATATTTTTCAAAAACAAAATTCAAAATGTTTGTCTGATGCCCAACTTTCTAGAAAAAAATCGAGCAGAAAATCTCAGACATCAATTTTTTTGGGTTTCGGATTTCACGCGGATCTGCTCATATGCAATATTTATAATCTTTGAAATTACCTAATTTTTTAGATAAGTGCAGGGTACTTTTTTTGGACAAAAAATCTTGTTGACATTTTTCTCTAGGATTCATACTTGCTGAGATAATTGACAACAACTATCAACATGAGATTAGAAGCTCAAACCTTTGTACAACTTTTCCACTGAAATAGTTCATACGATCTTGCCCTATAACTCACATTTTTTTCCTCGATTCACTTTCCTTTCGTTTGTTTTCATTGGTGTGGCTGTTGTATTTATAGCTTCTCTGCCTCTCTTTATAAAATATCGTTTTCTCAAGAGCATTTCTGCTCATGACACCCCTCAAGGTACTCAATAGGCAGGTCGGACGCTGATGGTGGCGTTCAATACTCGTGGCTGTGGAAGTTGGCAAATGTAACTCAATCGCCATACAGCTACCTGTGGACCAACTCCAGTACTGTGCCTGAGCTCGTCGCTGGGCCGTCCAGGAGGACTATGTATGTCACGGCTTTGTATTTCACTATGACGTGTATGACATCAGTGGGATTTGGTAATGTCGCGGCTGAGACGGATAATGAGAAAATCTTCACTATTTGCATGATGATAATTGCTGGTAAGATTAGGAGAATAATCCATTGCAATCTAATGAAGCTTTATTCTCAAATCTGAATTTCAAATTTGCTGTTATTTATTTTATCTCCATTCTCTGAATGAAACTGATCATTTTTTTTTATTACAATATTTTTCATGTTTGAAAAATGCATTGAACCAGCTTCCCTAGCTAAACTGACGTTTTTTTCCAATGGAATAGAAAATGAACTGAGTAAATATTGATTCTATAAGAACGGGAGAGAGATTGGAAGAAAATTCGCAGATTATTTCCTGAAAGTCTCTGTGAGGAGAAAGTTTCCAAGACTCTACAAAAGGAACTTTTCTGTACTGCTTCTCACGATTTCTCGTCTGGGAATTGGTATTACATACTTCCCAAACTCGAAAACTTGAAAATCACTACAGAAAAATATTGTTCCTGGGCTGTTGCGATGGGGTTTTTTTACTCGTGTGGTTAGCCAGTCCTCGCCTACGGCTCGGAGGCCAACGCCACACGAGTAAAAAACCCCATCGCAACAGGCCGGAAAAATACTATTTTTGAGGAGGTGGAATCGCGTAGAATATGACAAAGGTTCTTTGAGGTTTGTTAAAAATCTGGTGAGGTTTGTTGATTACCAGGATGGTCCCGTAAGGGGGAAGTGTAGGTTTGATCCTGCTTGTAAGACTAGTACACAGAAAATTCGGCCTGAGCCAAGTCTATTTATTCTGTAAAAACAATTATGCGCAAATATTTACAAATGACTCAATAGTTGAGTTCCAATTACAACACAGTAATAAGTGTGATGAGTTTCACTGTTAATTTTCACTAATATTGTTCACTAAATAACCGATGAATTTCCGTTGATTTTATTACATAAATAACATGTTGAATTTACTGTACAAGTGATAACTGACTCGATGATTTTACTATACAAACGGTAAACTGTCTCGATGGTTTACATTGAAGAAGTTGAATTATTATTGTTGAGCTACGAGACAAAATACACGCTGATCTACAGGCGAAATCGTTGAAATACATTTGATATTGATAATTAACTCATAACATTCGTTGAATCACTGACTAAAATACTGTTTCGTTGGATAACCCACGAAACGGTTGGTGTATTAATTCTTGCGTTGAAGGTCGATGAATATACTTATTGTGTTCACGGAGGACGATGAATAACCACGTGTTATGCCTACGGGAGGCGATGAGTGACTTATTATATCCACGACGGAGGATGACTGACTGCTCGTAAGTCAAGCAAAAATGGTATATTTCGGCTATTTTCGATGAGGTACGACTTAACGCGAATAATTAGGTCAGATGTTGAAGAGTCCTTGACAGACCCACAATTTAGGAAAGATTTCAAACAAGATCTCCTCCTGTAAATCAATCATGCTTAAAATAATTTGCATAATTTGAGCAATTCTAAAACAGAGGGCTATCAACAATTTTTTCTGGCATTGATTTCGAAGTAATTTCCGGAATTCTGAATTCTTGAAGAGAATATCAATAGAACTTACTTGCATCACATTTTTCCAGCTGCCAAAAATCTTCTCTCATTTTCCTCTAAAATGACTAGTTGTTGAGATATTCAGGAAACAATCCTTACGAAATTCGTGACCTTTTCTCCCGAGTTCTGAATCACCTCACCGTAAAATTGCATTCTTCAAATTCCAATTATTGTAGTAATCGACTTCGTTCCAATGAATTCATAATAGATTGACTCGCTGAGTGGAAATGGATGAAATCAAAAGAACCCAATGGAACGAAATTACAATTTAATGATTAGCCTTTTTTTCGTGGGGTTGAATCGAATTTTCCTTCTGTGGATAAAAACTTGTGTGTGTTCCGTTTAGCCTTGCTGTATGCTACAATATTCGGTCACGTCACAACGATAATCCAGCAGATGACGTCTGCGACGGCAAAATACCACGACATGCTAAATAACGTTCGTGAATTCATGAAGCTTCATGAAGTGCCAAAAGCCCTGAGTGAACGCGTCATGGATTACGTTGTGAGCACATGGGCCATGACAAAAGGCCTCGACACAGACAAAGTACTGAATTATTGTCCAAAAGACATGAAAGCCGACATTTGTGTGCATCTTAATCGTAAAGTTTTCAATGAGCATCCTGCTTTCAGGTAAGCGTTTACATTTTCTATTTTTGGATGTTTTTACCTATTTTGTGAGGAAAATACTTTGTTTCTTGACGTAATTACATGTTCTTGAATTTTGTCACTCTTTTGTCGAATTTATAAGACATAGAATTTCCTTTAAAGTTTCATAGTGCTGACATCATGAAAAGTGACAGGGGAAAAATTTATTGTCGAAAAACTCGAACGAAAAGGCAGTTGAAATTCGACAAAACAATGTCGGCAACACTTTTTCTACCGATAAAGGTCAAAAGATTATTCATTCAAACCACACTCAAAATTTCAAATGGATTCCAATTTTTGTTCTTCAGTTTTTCAAAGAGAAAATTCATTCACTTTCTGTTCCATTTTTAGAAACATGATAATCGTTTGTTTTTTATTTCAATGCATTCATAGAAGAAGGATTTTTTCACTCACAAGCTTCAAATACCTAGTGACAAAATTCTTTTCTGAAAAAACTGCTATTCAAATGCCAGCCCAAAACAAATTAAGTATTCCATGCCAAAAGGATCAACCGTCGACCCTCACCCGGATTGGATTTTTCCATGTGTGTCGTAAGGTTAAAGGAGGGAAGGGAGAGTTGTTCATAACGGTCCGATGTTTCTAAGGGTTAAACAGGAAGGACAGGTGGAGTAGGTATAAATGTTATGCGTAAAGAGGAGAAGGGCCATAAAATCAAATGAGAACGGCGAGTGGGAAAGAAATAGGAGAATTCTCTAAAAATGTGAAGATCAATTAATGCAGGATAAGAATAAAAGTAGAATAACATGGACCAATCGATGTAGGTTCTATTATTCCATCTGACTTGACACTGCAAAGGCATACGTCCCTAATACCCTCTTTTCCGACATAAATTCATGAATTATTAAATAAAATCTTCGTCCTTAATGATGTATAATGATGCGGAATTGTTTCAAGTCTTAATTGAATAATTGATAATCCTAATAGGTTCTTAATCTTCTCAATCTTGCGAATGAGCGTTTAGCTGTCCAAGTGGAGTGGGATACAGCTGGTACGCCACTCGTCATGGCGCGGCCATGAATATCGTGTCCGCGACCATGGGCACGGCCATGAAATCTCCATGGCCTTTGAAAACAATTTGGGGGTCCATGGCCACCTTACATGACCCCAAATCTTAGGGGTTTCATGGCCTCGTTGCTGGGCCAACATTTGTTGAGGGGGCGGGCGATCACAAGTGTCAGAGGGGAGAGGTAAATGTACTTATCGCAAGGGTGCAATGGGAGCGATGAATAGAATAATCGCAAGGGTCAAACGAGAGAGACAAGCGAAGTTATCTCAAGGATCTAATGGGAGCGACGAATAGAGTAATCGCAAGGGTCAAAAGGGAGAAACGAACGAAGTTATCGCAAGGGCCTAACGAGAGCGATGAATAGAGTAATCGCAAGGGTCAAACCAGAGAGACGAGGGAAGTTATGACAAGGGTCTAATCGGAACGACGAATGGAGCAATCGCAAGGGTTAAACGAGAGAGACGAGCGAAGTTATCGCAAAGGTCTCATGGGAGCGAATTAGACCCTTGCGATAACTTCGTTCGTCTCTCCTATTTGAACCTTGCGATTACTCTATTCATCGCTCCAATTAGACCCTTGCGATAACTACATTTACATCTCCTGTATGACCCTTATGATCACCCCACCCCCTCAACAAATGTTGGCCCAGCAACGAGGCCATGGAACCCCTGAGATTTGGAGCTACGGAAGGTGGCCATGGACCCCCAAATCGTCCTCAAAGGCCATGGAGGTTTCAAGGCCATAGCCATGACGACGGATACCAACATTGATGGCCGCGCCATGACGAGTAGCGTATCTAGTCAATACCGACTTCATTTATTTGGCAAATTGAGAGAGTAAAGAAGTTGCTGAAGTTGTGGACCAATAGGAAATAAACTTCTTCGAATGATGATGAAAATTTATTTTCGTGTCACGGGACCTGAAATACCCGATTTTCGTGGCGTTGCGCGCCACGAAATTGGCGTTTTCAGGTCCCTCGACACGAAATAGTACATTACATGCCCGAGCCTTGGAAAACAGATCAGCGTCCCCCACGTGCAAAATTGCCTTCCGAGCCGAAGGCGAATTGAGTACATGTAATTTTTGTCGATTATGGAAAATGCCTCGAGTTGTTGATCACTCATTCTTATTTCCTCTCTATGATATTATTCTTATAACAAACTATGTAAGAAGTATTCTGTGAATGATCACGCAAATTTGAATCACTGGGGAGTGATTAAGCGTCCCTAAGCATGGAAATTCCAATGAACTCTAGAAGCAAAATTGAATATTTTTAATTATTTGAAGAGAAATAGTTTTCAAAAACATTTGGAAATGAGTCGGGCGGAGTAATCAGACGAGTTGAACGTTTGTAAAGGTCAAGTAGTCAAACGGTCAGAAGGGTCAGGCATCGCATTCGAGCCGCGGGATCCCATCTGACGTGTTAAATCCGTCCCGTTTGATCCTTCGGATCACTTTGCCCGTCTCTCCTGTTTGGTCCTTAAAAACACTTGACCTATCCTCTTTTTATTCTGCCAGAGCTTTGTAATGAAATTATTTTTCTTTTAGAGAGTTATCTTTGAAAATTAATTCCAACGGAATTAATTAGACAATAATTTCGTGAAATGAACCGAACTGCTCGACGGAAGTAGCTGACACAAAAATGTTTTTGTTCAACACAAGAAAGTGGTTAATATCAATTTTAGAGTAATTAAGGCATTAATCGTCAACAAAATTATCATGAGACTAATTAATATTTCTAGAATTACAAGTTCATTAAATTCGGTGTTCTCGTAAATAACATAAATAACTAGGATAGACCCACCGATTAATATTGTAACAATCAATTCGAAGACGATATTATTAATTATTATTTATTCAAATCAAGTTTCATTTGGATTAATCCAAAATCGTTCTTCAAATAATTCAACGTCGACTCGATTCTTCAATTTATATTCATCCAAATTTTTCTTTCTCGTTATCTTTTTCTCTGAATAATAAATGTTAATTGCTCTTTTGTTTCAAAATATCCGTCAGGTAGGCACGATCTCACCTTGAGGTCGGCTGCCTGACCCCAATTTGATCAAATTCCGATTTGATGTCTTTGATCGGCATTTGAACGGGGTCAATTGAAGAGAAAATCATCAGATTCAGATCCGGTCCACCTGACATTAATTTTAATAAGTTTTTCGGATAATTTAATTAACTATTATTATACTATTCAAATTAAGTTTTACCAACCATTATCAATAATTATTTTCAATCTTTAAAAAGTATCATTATACTATAATTAAAATAAATTAAATTAAATTAATTTAATTTAATGAATTTTATTTAATTAATCAATTTAATTAATAGCCAGCCCTTCTCAAATGTACAAAAGGAAGGGATGATGATGCCGTAAATACGTATTAAAGGAGTATCAAACTTACACGCAAATGATCTTGAGAAAAAAAATCACCAAATGTCTATTTATTTATTAGTGTTATTGTTATTATCATTATTATTATTTATTAATGAAATGAATAAAAATTTAATTGAACATATTTTATCTCTGAGAATCCTGAGTAGAAATTCCAGTCAGGTCTTGATCAAGTTTGGATCAGGTTAGACCTGACCACTGATCAGGTATTGATCAAGTTGACGGATCCGGTCTTGATCAGACATGTTACGCCTCTGACCAATCCGGATTTGATCAGGATGACTGGATCCGAACTTGATCAAGTCAACTGTATGAAAACTGGATGACCTGTCTGTCAGTATCAATAACAATTATCAATGATAATTAATCCAAAACAAAAGATGATTCAATTCTTTCACCGTAGGCCGCCTCTCTTAATGAATCACTACTGTTATTATCTCTGAAAAAGCTTATTATTTTTTTAGCGATGCTGGGGATCGAACCGGGGACCCTATGATTGCTAATCCTATGCCCTAACCACTACGCTATCGCGTTATTTCTATTGAGTAAACTGTACGTTCCCTATATGATTTGTATCGGGATATTCGTTGAATTTACGATTATTCCCGATCTCGTGGATGTATGTGTGTATTCTCAGAGATAAAATATGTTCAATTAAATTTTTATTTATTTCATTAATAAATAATAATAATGATAATAACAATAACACTAATAAATAAATAGACATTTGGTGATTTTTTTTCTTAAGATTATTTCCGTGTAAGTTTGATACTCCTCTAATACGTATTTACGGCATCATCATTCCTCCCTTCTGTACATTTGAGAAGGGCTGGCTGTTAATTAAATTGATAAATTAAATTAAATTCAATCAATTAAATTAATTTAATTCAATTTATTTTAATTATAGTATAATGATCCTTTTTAAAAATTGAAAATAATTATTGATAATGGTTGATAAAACTTAATTTGAATAGTATAATAATAGTTAATTAAATTATCCGAAAAACTTATTAAAATTAACGTCAGGTGGACTGGATCTGAATCTGATCATTTTCTGTTCAATTGACCCCGTTCAAATGCCGGTCAAAGACATCAAATCGGAATTTGATCAAATTGGGGTCAGGCAGCCGATCTCAGGGTGAGATCGTGGCTACCTGATCAGAACTTGATCTGAATCATCCTGCAGTTTTTCGGATCTGATCTACTGGATCAAAGCTTGGTCAGGTTCTCATCAGACATCATCTGATCATGTCTACCTGATCAGAACTTGAGCTGAACCCGCCTGTAGTTTTTCGGATTCGATCTGCTGGATCAAAACTTGGTCAGGTTCTCATCAGGAATCACCGGATCAGTCGAACCTTATAAAAACCTGATCAAGTTCTGATCGTGCTTCAGGTGGGCCTAAATCAATTTTCACTCGGGATACACACGCACATCCGCGAGATCAGGAATAATCGTAAATTCAACGAATACCCCGATACAAATCACATAGGCAATGTACAGTTTACTCAGTAGTAATGGCGCGATAGCGTAGTGGTTAGGGCATAGGATTAGCGA